GCAAGGTCACTTCTGACATTAACACATACACGTTCTGCCCACTGACATGCTACCCAACCGTATAAACACACGTCTAAGACCTGACCAAAAATCTCAGCTAACATCCAACCGGAGTGCCTCCCCTGTCGAGGCTCGGAAGAGCGTGATGAAGGCCAGAATAAAATTCTGAAAGTTCCTGCCGTGGGGCTGTTGTACGCAGGGTTTTAACCAGGGTCCACATGCAAGGTGCACATAAGCGCCCGGCGTTCGGATTGGAACTCGTCTCGATTTACACGATTGGCACTGCTTCACAACAATTACTTGTCCATCTTGCACCCCTTCGGCTGTCTCGGAGACGGAAGTTGCCACCGTTGGGGCTTCATAAGGTTATTTCCATCTGAAGACTGTTTCCATCTATCACACAAGTGCACACATTGTATGAAGACACCAGCATGCGGCAATTGGGAGGACTTTCACCATTGGAAGTGTCTACAAGCAATCGCTGCGCTGGCGCGTTAGGGCGTAAGATCAAGGTCCCCAAGTTGTGGAAGGTCGCATGTCAGTGAAATCTCCTTTTGACGAAAGTCCTCAAAGTGATCCTAATGGTATGCCAAAATAACCGTTTTATCATCCCTGCCTAACCCATCAAACTGAGGCCATAAGCTCAATGAAGCCAGGATGGCGCGTGGACATTCAACGTATCCCCGAGCTTGGTCGTCGAGAAGAGGCTGACTCCCAGAATGCCTGCGGAACGAGAGGTGTCTGTATGCAGGTCAGGATTTGCTAAGGTGTTGCAGGTTGCCAGGCCCAGTCATATGCAACAATCAGCTTGGCCGTAGCTTCAGAGTGGCTCTGCTGAAAGCAAACTGAGAAGCAGACTGTACAGGATGAGCAGAAGCAGGAGAATCAGCAGCACGTTCATGAGCCTCAAATCGTGATACATGTTTAATCGTGTGAGCTTTCCTCTCATACACTTTCTATGTATGTACACAGGTACTCTATTGCCTGGATGCGTAGAAGGCCAGTTGTGCTGCTGCCACCCAAGCCGCCCTTCTCAGCGTGACTCAGATTTGTGGGTCTTAGAGCTTAAAAGAGGGTATGCTCTCGGGGGATCTATCGGGATATGGACAGAAGCCAAGGAGCTTTGGCAAAGACATGAGCAACGCCATGAAGATCTTGTTCCTGGCCGGACATAATTGGCTTCATGAGGACGCTTGGTTTAAAACACATTGAAGGAACCCCAAGCAAAACATCCTCATCCACACAAACAGGCATGGGGCACAAGCCCTTCAAGAAACGCAGCAGCCGAAAGAGTCTCGCCTCAGTGAAACACAATGCAACTTGGCCCTTGTGACTTGCAATCCGAGCGTGAATCCGGCTACCTGCCAACAGGAAGACAATTTCCCTCTTCTATTGATTTTCTATGGGACCTTGTGCCTCAAACGCTGCCATACTTAACCCACCTGCTGTAGTCATCTACGTTCCAGCATATGTTTAACTCTCCAGAAAAAGCACTGTTGAATCCTCCGGGCACCCTGCAATTCGGAAGATGCGGATGACTTGAATGATGGGATCGATCCGAACCTCAGACAGGCTTGCCTTGCCCCTTCATGCCTTGACCAAGCCAGGTGCTTCCTCACGTGTCCAGCCTACCCGGACTTTCATTGGGTACTCAGTTGCGTACTCACAAGCAGGGTTCTAGGTACCCCCAAGAAATCATGACAACACTTTTATTCAAATGCTTCTGCTTCCAACCCCACCTAGAACTGCCCACGAACCTCCAAATTGAGAGATCTTAGAGAAGACGGGCCCTGTTTTCCGAGAGAGAAATGTACACGCTCCAGCTTTGTCTCCGAAAAAAGTCTCCACGCCAATAGCGTGGAGGCGTCGCTCCGCGTATCCGGATCTGTTTACCTCAAAAAATGAGGAGGCTGTGTCTCGCAATCCAAGGGTTTGATGAGGATCAGGGAAATGTAGCAACAAGCTTTTCAAATCTACCCAGTGACGTGGAAAAGCTTGAAGATTACTTGGAAAAGGTCACAATCAGGATGATCAGCACCGCAACAATGGCCATGGCAACGGCGGTGTGCTCCTTTGTCACACTGTTGTTTATAGGTGTACAGAACAGAAACCCATAATTTTCGAAACTGCGCCTTCATGTAGGCGAAGGCCTCCTCTGCGTAGGGCGTCACCAACATGCCGATCATCAGAGCAATCCCCATGATGGTGGAGCCAATGCCTGGGTCGTGCTTACATCTCCTCCATAATGATACTGAACATCAGAACAGCAACCGGAGTGGAAGTAGTCATGGGGGAAAATTCCTGGCAGAAGCTATCTAAAATCGCTAGTTACCATGATGATCAAGTTGGTCCAAGGAGCCCGTGGAGCGTGCGTAGTTGATGGGCTTGAAGTAGATGTTGAAAGGCAACTTCTTGTCCGGGGGCTGCAGGGTGTATCCACGCCACTCCTCGACCAGTTCCGAGCCAAGGGGATCATGTTTTGAAAAGATCTGGCCAATACAAAAGCTGCGCTAGCGGCTTTGTGGACCAAAAAGCTGGCTGATGTGACCGAGACTCATTGCAGGGGGAGGAGATGATGCAGGAAGCCCAGATGGTCAGCCCAAAGACCATGGCCTGCCAATAAGAGCAACTACAAGGCCTCAGGACCTGCTTCTCTTGCAACACCCTGGCCAGACCAGAAAACACCTCAAACGACAAAAGCAAGAGTTTACGAAGATAAGCAGCAAAAGAATCAAGATGGCATTCAGAAGCCACCAAGGAGGCCTTGTGCGTGAAGGTAGTCGGTGCGATAGCATCCTGCGTGTCTCTCAGACTCTGCTCTCCCCATTCATCCCCGCGCAGGCCCTCCCAAAAAAGCATACCGTCCTGGATGAAGGGTCCAGCCAACCCACGAGCCCAGCCGTAGATGATGTCTCGGGCAACCGTGGGGATGTAGGCCTGGCACTGCTGGATACAGGACGCGGGATTCAGGGTTCAGGCTTTTAAGATTTAGGCCCTAGGGTGTATGGGATAAAGATTCTAGGTTTAGCTGTCCTTGGGGTTTATGGTATGCCTGGCAACCGAAGAATCTGTGGGCCCACGGCAAATCAAGCAAGTTTGTCATGCGGACTACTAGGAACCTGCTCAAAACAAAGTTACTGAAGAGCACTGCCACTGCAAGTCATGGCAATACCAACAGTTCACATAGTATTCATGGAGCAACTACGGTGACAATGGTACTGGTACTGCTCATGATGACAACATGACAACAGAAAAGCAACAGTTTCCATACCCCCCAAACCCAAATCGCTCTTGCAAGCCTTGGACTGGATTTGAAAATGTCCACGCATCTAGCTTCTGCAGCTAAAATTGAACATGCTTGTGTATGTATGCGTATATCTCTGTACGACTGCTTTGCGCCTCGTGTTTAAAACAACTTCGTAGCGCGCCTGGTACAGCAGGGAGGCCTTGATCTCCCAGCCCATGCTCTTCCGGAAGCGGTAGTTGGTGACGGGAAGCATGATGGTGCCTGGGTGAACCCCTGTAGTCCCTCCAAACCGCAGCCCCTAATGCAACATACAGCGATGTTGCCTGGCATGTGGTAAAGGCGTCACAATCTTCCACAGCAGCTTGGAAATGCATCGTAGTTGCAGAAGAGCCAGCCGCTAATGAGTCCGCTCACGCCGGAGGAGAGGCTAGTGTACATCATGGCCCTGTTGATGACCTGAAGTTATCGGTTGAGGGTTTAGGGCTTGGGTTGTAAAAGCATGCCGCACGAAAGCTGTTGCAGTCAAGCTGTGCAGGAGTTTCTCGACATGCGGGTCCTTTAACCCCACAAAATATGAAGATCCTCATGCAGCTCCGAACGAGGACCGGCAATTGGGAGCAACTCCCTTGTTTGCGTTGGGAACTCACCACCAAACTCTGAATCCCAGGCCTCAAAGACAGGGAACTTCAGCATGTTGGTCGGGAAGGTCGTGAGGAAGAAGTTGGATACCAAGCTGAAATTAACTTCGCTGTAGGCCTGAGCCAGGGTCATACATCCAAAACCGCACCACCCTGACAGCAAACATTCCAAACATAGTGCCTCTGCAGAACCCTCACGCCTTAACAAACAGCCCTTTGATACATAATGGTACCTTATTGTGAATCCCTGTGCAGTTTCTATGTTGCCTTCCATTATTCCTATACAAGCCCTACATGATCCCTACATCGCACCTGGCTCAATATCCCCCTATCGTAATCCCCTTTTCTTTTCCATCACACCTATATCAGTCTATATAAGCCAATAAACTCAGAGTGTCCGCTTCATGTTCCATTTGATGTCCCATTTGATTCTCCATTATTGGAGTAACATTCCACAAATGACCGGGCAACACAACATTCAGCAAACAAATTTGACAGCAAGCCAACCAGTCAGAAAATGAGGACGCAGAGTTGAAAACCCAGAGAGTGCGATCGGAAAACAGGCACGCAACATTCGGACAACACACCAGCCAGGATCGGCAAACATCAAAGCGCGATCGGCAAAAACACTTGTGAACCTATCCAGCCGTATCAGCAGAAGGACTAGAAATCAAAATTAGAAAAAGCTCCGGTTGGAAAAAGCTAAGCCGCAATGAGAAAATGAACGCTCCAACTCCAAAAATACAAAACCGTCTCTCTTTTCCACATTCAAGAGATGCTGCCCGCCACCAGCTCGAGTGAGAAAATCCAAATGAGAAAGGAACACATCCGGAAAGCAAGGAGCCGCAATCAGAAAACGACTGGTTGCATTCCAACAACACGCAAGAATTTCCTTTTCCAAATTCAAATGCAAGACACCTTGCCCGCTGCCGGCTTCAAAACTAGAAACTTCTAAAACAGAAACACACCACATGTTGAGAACACAGGGATAAAATCGTAAAACTCAAGCATACATTCCAAAAGCATGCTGCAGTTGTTTATCCTGGATGCAAGGGGCCCAGCCTTTTGGGAACCCAAACACGACAATTTGTTTTCCAAATGCAAAACACGTTGCCTGCTACTAGCTGCAGAAACTAGGAAATCATAAAAACGCTACATTCGTAAAATGCACGGATGCAATCGCAAAATACAAGCGCGCATTCCAAAACCACGCTGCAGTCGTTTATCCTGGATCCAGCGATCCAGCCTTTTAGCAACCCAAGAACTACAAGAATTCAAATAGGAAAGGCTTCTTATAAAAACATGTCCCCGCATCATGAACAAATGCCACATTCTTGAATGGTTTGCAACAAGGGGGGCTGCGCCCCCCCAAGCCCTCTGACTTTCAAACATGTCCGGTGCTCTGAAAGCATGAATACGTATCATGTCCAATACTCAATGCTCATGAACAACTGCCACAGTTCTCTGACGGTTTGCAACTGGGATGAACCTGAAACATGCGTAATAGTCGAGAACCCCTCGCAACCCGTCGCGGTTTATGTAAAACATGAATGAACCTGCATCATGGCAGAGAGCAGGAAGCATTCTTTGCTTAAGACGTGTTTCCTGTCATGCCTTTAGACTGACCACCTAGGATACCTAGCATTCTAATTGATAACATCGTGTGCCACTCCAGAGTACTCGCGCAAATTTCTACCCATGCATTTTCCATGTGTGGCTTTCTGTTTTTGACTCTTGCCCACTGCCGGTTTGCTGACGGTAGCCTTCCTGTTTCCTGGTTGTGGCCTTCGTGCTTTTGACTCTGGCCCTTGCTGTGTTTGATGTTGCGTTGCTGTGTTTGATGCGTGTCTGCTGAATGTTGATTCGTTGCTGTTGTCTATAACCCGATCCCCATATTTGGGTGCAGGCCTGGGCCACTGTCATGCGCTTCACCAGCAGCCTGCAGAATACAGGGCGGTCACGCAGGTACAGAGGGTTTGGGTTTAGGGTTTAGGGCCTGAAACGGAACGTCCTTCTTGAAGTGGAGAAGTTACAGGCATGTGCTCGAATAAGACGGGTGCGCATGTGTAAAGTACTAACTGAGGCGCCACATTCACCAGCATCAGTGAAGGTTTTAAACGATGGTATACACATTGCTCACTACACTCTGATTTGTAGAGATGTAAATACATATATATACAGCGACTCATTCAGGCTCCTGTCATTACACGTCCCCCACCTGTTCACTAGTGGCTCGCACATGGCGGAGAGGATGGCGGCCACCAAAGCGGCCGTGCAGCCCTGTGCGGCTGCGGCAAAAACCTTGCTGCCAAACAGACATGAGCAGGCATAAGCAGAATCCCTACTGACATCTACTGCCTCTACAGGTATCAGAAGAAGCTCTACGCCTCAAACATATGTATAGCCCAGAAGGATCAGCATGGGAGACTACAGGTTGGAACGTGGCACCTTGGTGAAGAAGCCGCCGTCGTCCGCCGGCGCCTGGAAGCCGCAAACAATGCTGCTAGCTGCAAGTCTTCTCAGGTGGTATTTGCAAGACTGTTCCAGGAGAATCGACAGGACTCTTTCTTCAGACCAGTAGTACTCTTTTGTGCAGATCATCTCCCGTACATTATCCATACATTCTACTGCAGCAGTCCACAATTTCACTCTCCGCATGCCCAGCGCTACACACGGCTATCCCTCCTCATCGGCCACTGCCAGCGCGAGGTCACGGGGGAGCTTGCCAGTAGGCGAGGCTGTCCACACATCCACCAACCAGCACGCGGTTGCAAAGAGGACCACGGGGCCAAGTCCGTTTCGCCGGGCAGTCATGGCAACTACTGTTCTCAGCTTCTCTCTTGCCGGCGCAGCTATGATACAGTACTTTCCCAGTCTTGGGGAAAGACACTCTTGAGACCAAAGGCAATACAAGGACAGCATACAAGCCTTGCACCAACAGCAGACTCCAATCTACTCCAGCCAACTGTTGAAATCATGATCAACTTCAATGGCCAGATGCATTTATGCGTGTGAGAGCTCTGAAGTACTACGGCCTGTTACACAATGCGTGCATCCTCCTTTGACAACCTGGCACTGCAGCTCAGCCGGTTACGCTGGAGGCTCTGCTGACGACAATGCCCACTATGGTGGCAACCTGGCCGGGGCATCTCCAAAATTGCAGGATTCCTCTGATCATCATAAGTACTCGACTGCCTTTTGTTGGTTCATGAAGGTCCCACTTTTATTGCCTTCACATTTCGGCTCTTGAGAGAATCCTTGAGTTGGAGGCATCTCACATTTGCCAGAACAGAAGTCGGACCTAGCAAGCGACTGCAACAAGGGCATTTCTCAACACCAGGGTCCCCAACAAACCCAGCAAGAGTCCTCAAGATAGGGACGCCCAATTTGAGTTACACACTCGACAAACCCCATAAGCCCGCAACCACGCAGGTGAAGTCGAAGCAGTTCCAGCGGTCTCCTTGCAGCAATCCATTTCGCTGTGCACTTTCCAGGATTAGACGTTCAGGGGTTCTGCTGCAGGTTCCATGTAGCCTACTTGGGACGGCGTTTCATCAGGACTTGTCAAGCCGGCATATTCCGTTCTTCTTACGGAAGAAATGATGTGCACGGACACTGTTTTTGCAACGGCAGCAGTTTTCTTGAGTTGACAACTCAAGAACAGTTGTTGGACTATCTTACTGTTTCGGTGTAGCGCAATGAAACATGAACAATAGGTACTCAAAACAGGGGTTTCAGCATCCTCATCATGGAGATTCCTGTGTCCTTAAAAAGGGTCCTGGAGTTTTGTGGTTCTGTGCTCTGAGGGCAGGACCCCAATAGTTGGACCGCAGCGCGAAGAGCTTGAGGATGCACTCCACGGTGAAAATCCCCGCAAAGAACTGAGCACGAGATAAATCACGGGATCTGCAGTCGGAGGATGGTAGTCGGTTGCCATGCTCATTTCTGGAAGTGCGGGCTCTGCTCTGTGGAGTCCCTCAAACCTGAACCACATCATTTGGGCCACTGAATAAGTCCTTGATGCTGAGAAATCTCTTCCATTCCAGCTTCACCAGCCAACAGTCATGCTAGGCAAGCGCGTGCAAAAAAGCCGGGGAGAAGATTGATTCGAAACCAGGCAGTGCTCAGATCCGCTTTGAAACATGGAATAGCCTGTACCTCTGGGCACACAAACAACAATCAGGAGTGTGAAGGATGTATTTCTTGAAACTGGAGCTGAAACAGACTAAGGATTCCTGAACAGTCTCCACACGGGACTTGGGCCAAATTAGTTTTCCCAAAATGGGAAGGATATTTTATATAGGGACCCATATTGTAATGGAACCTTACCGTCCTGAACCGAATTATGAATTTAAGGAAATCCCCGCCTACCAGCACTGGGATCCGGACATAATTTACAGTCTCCAGAAAGGTCTCCCACTCTGGGAACGGTGTGGGTGTGATCTTTGCCGCCTGAATGGGCTTAAAACATGATTAAGGTTTAGGGTTTGGAGCTTGGGGTAGGGTCTCGGACGCACCGGCAGTTTGGGCACAAATGCATGTGGCCACATGTGGCCACAGCTCATGTCTCTGATATGTTGCACAAACCTGGCATGGCATCAGGTAACAGTGTAGGGAAGATGCTAAGTTACAGTCGGAAATCCTATATCCACCCGTAGCAAGCCCTCGACAACCATGATACTGATAGGAACTCACATGGTGGTGTGCATAGTGGTTTCGCGTGAACGCTCACCAACAGTGCAACAGCAGCCCTGCCCAAACTTCTCTGGTTCAGCACCATCCCCATGTGCAGTTGGCATGCAAGGCAATCAGGCAGGCACGAGGAACAACGTGTTGATCACGATGGCGCCCATGATGCTGGTCTCGAAGCACTCGCTCGACACCTGGAAGCAAATGCGAAGCAAAGCAATTCCATCTCGAATTCAGAGACGTCTGTACTCAAGGCACCCTGGATCCCTGCAACACGGATGATCAGGCTAGCTTGCGCGTCTGCTTGCTCCCAACAGAACAGCACACGAAAAAACAAAAGCTTCCAAGGCTGTCCGCAAGACATGAACCACGAAACACTGCTGCAAAACACACAGAAACGGGCCGGGCAAGCCAAGTTGTAACACCTCCGTCTCAACCAGGGCTTCTTGTGCAGGTCCCTGTCATCAGAGCGACATGTTAGGATGTTGCACTTGCCAGTCCAGGTATCAAATTTTGCTGCAGCGAATTTTCTTGCTCACACTCCAGCAGTCAGTGCTTTTCAATCACGCAGCTTCTCTTCGGTGCCCAACGAAGTCGGCACAAGCGAAGAAGAGAGACACAGAGAGCGGGGGAGAGAGAGGGGGAGAGGGAGACTGTCGCTAAGAGCTTGCCTTCCTGTCATTCCTGCCTCAGCTAGTTAAGAGGCAAAATGTTGCCTTAACCATCTTCAGTTCATAGGTTATAGGTCCCAGAAGACAAGCCCAGCAGAAAACTTGCAAGCATACAAGCAATTGCACTTCGCCGTACAAACAGAGCCAGGTCCGCATCAGGCTGACAATCTGCCGCCTGCGGACGCACCACGGAAATTACGCAAACTCTTCCAAGGCTTGTCCTCATTCATTTGCAAAGTGTTGCTCCACCAGCGCGTACAGGAACATTTCAGCAATTCATTTGACAACGTGATGCCTTCCGGATCTTGCTGACTCTTTCTTCAAGACCCGAATTCCTCCCTGAAACTGCTTCGGTGAGGATTGGATCCTGCCTGGAATAAAGGCTCATGATGGAGTTCACCCAGTTCTTCTGCGGCTCGGTCAGCAACACCTGAGCCAGCAGCTCGGTTCAGACCACTTGCTTTGCTTATATATGTGCCCAGCAGGTCAGAGCTTCGCACAACTGCAAGTTGAGAGCCCATGGCGCCTGTGTGTTGGACTGCTTCATGGACATGAACTTGTCCACAATGACGCCGACACTCAGGTTGATGATAAACCTTCAGGATCGATCAATCTATGGAAGAATGACTCATTCAGCTTGTGGCCGCACAAGCTGCAGCCTACTGAGTACCAGGCATGTTGCTGAAGAACAGGTACAGCATGAAGAATGGAACCCACAGCCTGAGAACGCTGCAACCCAGTCGACTAGCGGAAACCAAGCAGACAGCACGATGACTCGAAAAACTGCAACACCGTCAGGGTCCCCACATCTCCTGGTTGTTTCTCTTAGGCTGTACCTGCAAAGGAGGAAGCGGGCGCAGTCGCATAGGGAATCAAGGCTGTGAGGGTTGTTCAAGGATATTGAATGGAGCCGAGTTGCGTAGGGTTGTACAGCATCTGCAGCAGAGTACATCACATCAACCCAGCCCTCTGTCGTCGATATCTCGAACAGCGTGAGCCTGAATTCCGCACATTGAGCGCCGCGTGAAAGAGCTTGTTTCTCTTCATCTCTTGTTTTGACACGCAGCCAACTACAGACAGATACTGCAGCATATTTTTCAAAGGATTGGGACCATCAGCGGAACTTTACAGCATCTGCCATCTCCGTCGGCAACTGAACTTCACGAAAACTCTGAGCCACAGGCATCGCAAACCAAATGTTGTTGAAGTTTTGGCTGATGGTCGGCACCCACCTCCACGGCCAGAAGCATGAACACGGCCATAGCTGTCACCCTAAAGGGTCCAACTGATTCAAAACCGCATACATCATGAGTACGTTTACGCTACAAGTGACTGAGACAAAATCCAAGCACCTCATCTCTGCGTACTGAAGCCCGTCTGGACATAATTTAACCCTGAAACCTTTGAAAGTCGTCCTCCTGAATGCTAAACCCCAAACCGCCTTGAGCCCTGCTCCAAACACAGTGCCGCGTCTCGGATCAAGCCCTCGCAGAATTCAGGGCACCTGGCAGGAAGTGTGGGGCCCCCTTGTTATGAGTTGGCGCACAAGTAATTAATTGTTTGAAACACCAATTTTCCTCCAATTAATAAGCTAGAATGCTACTCAGCTTTTTGGGTTCAGAGCTCAGAGCTTTGATGCTGGAGAAGTGAGAGGCTCGGAAGGCTTCATAAGGTTCCGCACATTGCACACCAAGACCCAACTAGTCAGGATCGTGGAGTTGAAACCTTTGGGTTTAGCTTTGGGGTTTGGGGAGTTGCCAGCATGGTCCGGTGCATTACTAACAGCAAGACCCAGCCTTCCCCAAAAGGATGGATGGTCAGCTTGTTTTTCCCCAGCAGCCACAGCCCCAAAACCCCAGACGCCCAAACTGAACAACCTACGAAGCTCGGCAGTCCCACCTGCACTGCGCCTCACACTCGTAGACACAGGACTCACATTGGGCACCTCGGCGGCAATTTGCACTTCCGGCATTGTTAAGCCTTCCGCTTCGGGCGGAAGGGACTGCAGGAGTCTTGGCAGTCGGGTCTCCAGCTTCAGGGAGGAACTGCTAATCAGAAGATCCAAGGCTGGGTCGATGGCTGTTTTCTAGACCCGGTGCACAGGCATCCACGCAGAAGTATGGAGCCTGCATCCACTGGTGAGCATGGAGAGGAGCTTCGATGCTCGGCAATTGTCTAGGGGCCTCAAAAGATAGGACAAGACACTGGGGTGGTAGATAGGATAGTAGGAAAAGGAGCAGTCGCATCACTGATCATCATTCAGACTCGGGTACTATCCCTCAATAGTCTCCATAGAGCCCGCGTAATCCCACTCCCTGACAACAAGCCTGGAACCCAAGTCCTACCACCCAAACGCTACACTCTAAACGCCAATCCCATTATCTCAGGAAGCTTGGCCTGTCTGCATGTGGTCTGGCATTGGGCTTTCACTTCTTCGTCAACCTTTGCAGAAGAACTTGATGGGTAGTTCGGAAGTGGAGCAACGGGAGCCATGCTCGGATTTGAGGCAGTTTGTGTAACATCTAGAGCCAAGCACACACCCGCTCTCCAAAACTCGAGTATAGGAAGCTGGGGCCACAAGCAAAATAAACACACTACTCACATTTTTGAGGGTTTCCTTTCGCGCGACTTCTAAATACCCACGGACCTCAAACAGCACATGCGTACAAAAGGTCTTCAGCAGCATGCTTGCAATCGCTGCCCGATTTGAACCCTAAACCACTAAACTAAAACTGCGTGAAAATCAGTGATCAGGCTTTCTGTTTTTCGGTCCTTGATTGCTGACTTGCAACCTTCTTGCAGTGTCCCTTCCTGGTCTGCATTAACCTACCCAGAACCTGGAGGAAGACCTAGATCAGGGCTTCTAAACGCGAGCTCGCAATTCATTTAGGAATTTCTGCCGTATCACAGATTCCTCGCTGTACTTTACTTCGAGAGCCCTACGTAAGGAACACTGTTGTTTATCCCCGCCCACCGGTGCCTCGCCGCAGAAGAGGTCCGCACAGCTCATCGACTTTGCAGTGAGTACCTGCGCAAGACACATCTGAGGTTCCATGGAAACCTCTTCAAAGGCGAGATGCCCCAAGGACGGTCCGAAATAGGATGTGGGTAAACTGCATGCTATGGATTCAGCTCACTTCAGTCTCACTGCAACAGTTCGTGAAGCTCTCACTAATTAGATCCAATAGCTCATGGTCTGCCCGGGTGTGCGCACCATGTGGCCGGTGGAGTTCACGGTGCTCCCGCCACACGGAAGCACCAGGGAGCGAGCTGGGCGCAAGGAAAACATGTTGGTGGCTGCCAACAAGACAAAAGCCTGTCTATGAGGGGCCATATTCTTATGGCTGGCCCAGAAAGGACTGTCGACATGAGGAAGCATTTGCAATCAGAGCGAAAATTGGAAAACAATATTGCCAGCCAGCAGCACAGCCATACTTCTTGGACGCAAATCATATAGAGTAGCAGCAAATGATCAGAATCATAATGGGACTGATTGATTCCAGTATTCTCTGCAAATGGGGTCAATGGGCTTACGAGACATAGTAGTAATTTCAGCGGTTTCGGCGGAAGCTTGGTGCCGAAAATCCTCTGCAAAACGTGCGCTTGACAACTGCTCCGAACCCATGCTTTTAAGTTTGATTCAGACAGCTGCGAGCTGATCTGAACAGGCTATCCGCTGACCTTGGGGGGCGTG